TCTCTCTCTCTCTCTCTCTCTCTCTCTCGTTCTCTGTGCCGTGATACGGCGCGGTAACGAGCTCTGGCGCACCGTTGGCCGACTCGTTAATGGACAGCCATTAAATTGCTGGTACCGCGCGATTCCTTTTTCAAGGAAATTTAATGCCGGGCGAGGACTGTTATTTGCATTTTTCATCGGTTGCTTGGAGCCGAGTGGTGCCGGATAGGATAAAAAAGGGAGGAATTAATTGAGTGCTGTTACGGTTTCGTTGCGACGCGTGATAGATCTAGTTTCGTACGTATCGAATTGAAAATTTTTCTTTTTCTTATAAACGTCTTATATCTACACTCCACGAAGTATGATGGAGGGGCGATTGCCAAAGTTTTTTTTGGACCGAATTGTTTCGAAAACAATAACTTTCATTCGTTTGTAATGTACAATAAGAGAAAAACGTTAGATGGAAAATATTATTATTAAATTGTCTAGTTAGTGAAATCATCTTGTTAAACGTCCGGAGACTAACAAACTTTATTGACTATATGCCTAACGAGGAAGGAACTCCTCAACAGAGTTTATACGAAAGAATTTGTCAAAGAGATCGACTAGTAGCGTCTACTTCCCGATCTTGTACCTTCGTCCATCTTCAAAGAGACCATCGATGCCAGCCTGGCGAGCTTACGGAGATTTTTCGAAATCGAATTTACGGATTTCTAGGTCAGCCTAGACGAAGTTGAAACTCTTGCCGGGCGGGTTTTTCTCAAAGGGAGGAGGTCGGCCGGCAACCTCGTGGAAAAATTGGACGCGAATAAACGGAATTTCCCACTGTCTTCTTCTTTTTATTACTTGCTGGCCGTTCCAGCCAGGAGATGATTACGCGAGCCGAGCAAGCGAACGCGACAATATGTCGTGCATATATCGCGCGCTCGTAAAAAGTGAGGAACGACCGGGTCGCTTTCATTGCGATTTTATTTCGGCCCTTGTCCCTCTCTCATTTCGAATCGGGCAATGATTCCAGGAAAGAGGAGCGCAAACGTTTCGCTGCGTTCTTCGCCGCTTCCCTATCGGAGCTATACGAGGTGAAGAAGAACAATATAATTTCGTTATCAGAACAGAACGACTTGAAAATAACCGTCCGTGTGGTTTTCTTCCGAGACAGTTCTTCTTCACCTTTCCGAGCTTAGAGAGCAATTTTGCTTTCTCTTCTTTTTGAGAAAAATGTAATCTTTACTTATAAACTCAATGATAAAGGTTTCAAGTTAAAATAATGGTAAAAACGATAATTTTATATTAACGATTAAATAATAAAAGATAATATGTAAAATACGTTTTTTGCGAATTTCAGTGACACGCGTGTCCTCGTTTCTTTATCGTTTGTTAATTTTTTTTTTAGTTAATTAGTGTCCATTTCTGGGGAAATAATTTAATCGCTAATAATATAATTACAAATAATTGTAAAAATACGAAGTAAAATCGTATTTTTAGAAAAACAAAAGCAATTTACTTATTTGCGTTATAGCAAGCATAAAATTAAAACATAGAGCGAAACGAAAAGTATTATTGCACTCTTAAATGTCTTGATTTCAGTTTTTGTTTGTTGGGATAATATTTGAAATGTAAGTAAGTTGAAATAATATTTGAAATTTAGTGTAAAATGTATTTAAGTGGAAATTGCATTTTTAATAGAAATCGCATGCGTTTGCACCATCCAATATTTCTCTTTGCTCCTAAAATTCAAAATCTAACAGTAAAAGCAGTTTATGGTTGTAAATATACATTTTTTGGGAGAGTTTTGAGGGAAACGGAGTGAAAATCGCAGAAATTCAGAAATATGTGTTCACATTCAACAACTTTATACGCATAAAATCCAAAATCTAGATTTTGCGTTGCAATAATTTCGAGTATTAAATTACTGCGAGATCATTCGTCATTTTACGTGTAATGATGAGTATTGTTGCTCAAAATATTATTAATAATCGTGAAGAAAAAAATGAACTTTTCAAAGGAAACTTTTAATTATGCAAAATAACAGAGAATCGATAGAAATTTTCTTATCTCATTTTACAAAGATCCAACGACACCAATTAAGGGTTAATATTAATAATACTTAATACTTATTATTAATTTAATCTTTAATATTAATAATTAACTTATTTATCAGATATGCAAGTTGGAAACTATTGTTGGAAACCCTTCTCTTTGAATACGAACGATTGTCGCTCTTAATTTGCAAGAACAAAGAAATTGCAGCCGCTCTTTTCGATGGAAATGTCTCCGCGCCATCGGAGAGCGTCGTCTTTTCTTTGATAAAGAAAAGACCGAGAAAAATTAAAATATATTCATTGTCCTACGAATCTGAACGCCAAGGTTGTTCCCAAGGAACAACGAGGATGTTATCGATACGTTTCTTGCGATTTCCCTCGGTTATTCTTCGAACCGTCGATTTTTACGACGACTGGAGCAATTTATACTGAAGCTTCTCTCTGTCTCTCTCTCTCTCTCTCTCTTTCTTTCTTTCTTTTTTTATTAAAGAGTAACGAGGACCGGAGCGAGTTTAATAACGGTGTCGTTCGCAGCTAGAAGGCAAACAAGCTACCCCTATGATTCTTTCATGTTTCCTTAGTCAGTTCCATTTTCTCAAATTACCCGTGAGACCGTGCGAAAGGTTTCTCAAGGAAAAGAACGCGAACACTTCCACTAACGCGATAACGACTTCAACAACGGGGGCAGGGGAAAAAATGTAGCTTACTTGCAATTTTTATTCGCCGGGGCGTGAACATTTTTCGCGGGTGTTCGACATCTTGCCTGCCAAGTAACACGTCGATGTACATTCCTGTTTCTCATTTGGTGCTGAAATTACTGACGACTGAAAATACAAAAGAAGTCGAGCACGCCGAGGAAATGTAAACGAAATTGTTTAAATCTAGTCGTAAAACGAGCTAATTTAAATCCAAGTCAAATGTAATCCAAGTCGAGGATTGGAAGAAATTAATCAAATTGAAACGAAAAACCAAAAAAATTACTCTAGAGAAATCAGAAGTTAGA